GTGTAAGTCGGGGTACCCCACTGGTGAGGAACAGTGCGAGTTGGTGAGATGTCGTCGCTACGGTCGCTTTGATGGCCATTTGTGGTCTCGTAATTCACCCAGCCTTCACTAAACGTGGGAAATGATGGCTGGCCTTCGCCAGGGAGGGTCAAGCCGTTTGTCTCCATCGGTGGGTTGCCATTCATGGAGCCATTAACAATGGGAGGCCCCATGTTTTGCACTGCTTTCTGTCTCTCCATCTCTTGGAGAACCAGTTGCTGACGTGCTTGGAGTTGCTGGATCTGATGTATGGCCTGGTCATTTGCGTAGAGCCCAAGTGAAGCTTGAGATGGCATATCCGGTGGTACAGTTTCGACCGTGTCGCTCCTGTGACGAGGCTGGCTTGGAAATGAGCCATTGACAATGACTGGACCGTTGTCGACAGGTGGACGGACGGAGTCGATACGTGATTTCCGCAGCTCAGGGGTGGCCACCTCATTCGGCTGACTCACGCCAGTAGAGTAGCTTCGCATATGTCCGAGCGGAGAAGGAGACCGTGTCACTCGACGTAACGCAGTGTTCAGGAGCGGCTGCGTGATCTCTGGCGATACGCGTCGGCGACGCTGAGCCAGTTCGCTAAATGACGGAATCAATGGGACAGAGTACTCTTGTCGCGGGCATACTTGTGGCTCAACATAATAGCCAACATATTCCTTAGGCGAACTGGTATCGGAAGATGGAATCGACTCCGGCTGTGATAGATTTGGTTTTGTGGGAATATCCGACGTCATCTGCGGCCTCAAGAGATCCTGCGAAGATCGTGCGATAGGATAGCCAGCAAAGCTTCCAGAATCAACGAGTTGGGGTACGGGTGGATATCCCACGATGATAGGCTGTTGTCCCGCACTGCGAGGAGGCTGCGAATGCGAACGAAGGGAACTTGTTTCGCTCGCATTCGAAGCGCGATGCACTCCTCGGTGTACACCAGGTATGCTGTTGCTCAAAGATGGCGAAGAAGGATTGGTTCGAGACCCATCTTGGGAGCCAGTGGGATCCGATTGGGGAGCAGTAAAAAAGCCAGGATAATGGTATAGGAAGCCCTGAGGAAGAGCGCTTGGCGGTATCCCACGCTCAGCCAAACGAGGACTTTGTCGACCATTCACATAGGGCGACTTCTGCGGCGATCCGTTTGTGCTGTTAGACGCTCTGCCCTGCGCTTGTGCTTGGGCAACGGCGTGAGCGTGCATCTGCGCGGCTCGCACTTGATGTGCTTGCTGAGCGTGTTGCTGAGCAGCAAGCTGAGCACGTAGAGAGTTCGATTGCATTTCCAACATCTGGTACTGTTGATACAGCTGGTCATGTAGCTGGTCATGAATTCCTCGGGGAAAGTTGAAGTATTCTGGACCAGCACTCGCTGGAATAGGTGGACTATGCAGAAACGGTGGTCGGCCCTGACCGTAGTTGGAGCTGCCGGAAGATCGTCTACTGCCTCCATGCTGGCCTTTTAGGTTGAAGCCGCCTCTACCTCCTCTCGAATTCGGGCCACCTCGTCCGTTCCGGTTCGGAACGCTGGAGGTAATGATGGCTTTCTGGGATTGCGGCTTCTTGAAGATCGCGTTAGACTTCTCTTCTGGCGGATACTCAAATTGCTCGCAAGCTTTGTCAAGCTGCTGGCCATCTGCAAGGAGGTCGAAAGCGCGGCGGAGCTCCAGGTGTATGCCCCGCCATGCATAATCGTCCGCGGAATTTCCAAGGTTTCGATCGGTATTGAAAGGCTCCTCTACACAGAGGCGATTGACACCTTCCTTCTGGCCACCGCCAGGATGCCACCCCTTCTCCTCTCTCGGTATCCGTTTGCCTTGACGTACTGATATCGTTTCTTTCTCATAGTCGATTTCGTGACCATAAAGACGGAAGAAATGGAATAGCAACTGGCCCAAGCTTTCCTTATTGTCATCTCCGTAGCCTCTCAATCTGTCGACGTCGTCGGCGAAACTCGATAATGAAGGCTGGCCGGTTGTCTCGTCTAACGCTCGATCGGGAAGGTCATGCAGGGTAGGGAGGACCGGTGGATCCCGGGTCTGGAGGAAATTGAGGATCAAGCATATCCATGTATACGAGCTAATTGTGCCACCAATGCCTGAGCGATGTTAGATTAGGAGGAGACGGGTATGCGGCAGACTGACCAGCATCGTTGAGGATCCGGCGCTTTGTCCAGTGCTTGATTATCATAGCGAGCGGTCGAACACGATCGTCGAGCTGGATGTATGTCTTGATCATGCGCGTGTTCTCGATTGCGGCGACGTTGTTCACATTGATGTCGCAGGAGATTTGCAGCTCAGGGTCCCAAACTTTTACAATCCGCACTTTGGCTGCTGGTATGCATACCACACGTTCCATGCCGTCTAGGGAGATTAGTCTAAGTCAAGCTGAATCATGGTAGCAACGTACGTTTGTCCAAGGCCTCAGCCAGGGGGTGCATTTCTTCGAGCCTTTTCATGGGCGTTTGAATGCAAATGTCGACTGTCCATGTTAGTGCGGGCCTTTTGATGCGGGTTGGAACATACCATCGCTTTCGGAAGTCCACAACATGTTGCCAGAGGAGCCAAAGACGTGGACCATGATCTTGGTGCCTGGGAACTCGGTTTCGAGTATGCCCTGCATCTTCTTTATGAAGCGTTCTCGGATGTGGGTGTCTTCCTGTTTCGGCTCTAACCGGTCGTATAGCTCTCGCATGTCTCCGCTCAACTTGTCATCCTCGTGGGGATCCAGACTCTTCTTGGGCTCCTCTTGGGCTCTTTCGAGTATCTCGTCTGATTGGTAGGGCATGCGTCTCCGGCCCAGCATACCGACGTTGGTCTCGAATCTGCACTTGAATGGGCGCGCGGGTCTCAGCGTGGGCATGGTGCCGTTTGCTTCGGACGAGACGGAGCGTGGCGAATGGCTGCCCAGTCCGCCGTTTGGCGACGGGGAGCGTGAGCGCGTTGTGTATTTGCGGGCGACCTGCAGGGGCGTCGAGGGGACGGAGTTGGAGTGCTGCGAGACGATGGACGGGCGCTGGGCGCGCGTCTGGGCGCCCGCCTCTTCCCGTTTGCTCGACATATTTGGCAGACGGTTTGATGTCATCGTGGGCGCGCTGGTGGGCACGCTACGCTGTGTAGCCTTATTCCCATCTGTGGTATTGTTGTGCGCCTGGGCCGTCTTGACGGGAGGCTTCTTGGAGAGGGTGCGGCCTGAGTCCCGCTGGGGCGGCGGGCTCAGCGAGTGGGGAGACACAATTACGGCGGGGAAGGGCGTGTGCGAGGCGGATGGATGCACTTCGTCGATACGCGCGAGCTGCAGGAAGGGGTGCAGCAGCAGCTGGGGCGGCACGTGGGCGTAGTGGATGTGCGGGTGCAGTGGGTGTCGAGGGAGCGGCAGGGGGGAGTAGGCGGGGGCAGCGAGGGCGGGCGAGGAGGGTTTGGTCCGGCGAGGGTCGGAATGAATGAGCTGGGGATGTTGGAGGTAGAGATATTGTGGGTTGTTGTGGCGGCGGTCGCTCATAAACTTTAGTGGGCGCTCACTGGCTATGGCAATGGCGGTGCTCGCGGAGGGGCGGCGGCGGCTCGGGGGCTAGGGCCGTGGGCGGGAGCAGAGAGAGATGCTTCCAGAGCAGGTGACGGCAGAGGGCTGGAGCAAAGGAGCCCGCGGTGAGGGCGTACTCGGAATTCGGCGTCGTGAGAGGGTGGTGCGTGAACCCCTGCCGTGAGAGCCTGGTCCGCACTCGTCGCTGCGAAGGTGCTAGGGATCCGGCGTCGACTGTGGTTCCGCCGGTCAGCGCTAAACAATGGCGGGATGCAGACGCAGACGGGAATCGAGGCACTGCAGACGGCGGGCGGAGCGGTGCAGAGGACGAGGTCGACAGTCTGTGAGGTTGTGTGCAGTGCAGCGGCATGCATGGGCATAGGCATAGGCATGGGCATGGGCATTTGGGCCACACCTGGGTCCTAACGAGGGATGAACGCACAGGGCTGCCTCTAATGCGCTTTGGGACGTGTGACGGCGACAGGGGCGCCTTCTCCATGGCCCATACACATACAACACGCCATGTAATCTATCCTCTGCTGCTCCATGGCGGGGGGCTGCCCGATGTCTTTCTGGCCTACACCACCAGCTTGCACTCCCACTCCCACCGCCATCACCACCGCGGCGCTGGCCTTCCCCGCGCCCAGAGCACTGGACAAGGGAAAAAGGGAAAAAGCACAATCCACGCCACACCGTCAGCCGTCATCAGCCCTGGCCGTGCTGGCTGGCCGTGCGGAGACGGTAGTGTTCAACGGGCCACTCCGCCGTGCTTCTACGCTACATGACAGCTTCCTGTAGAACTCCTGTTAAGCTGCAGCATGGGCGTCTCCTGTCTCGTGCAGCCCGTGTCATAGGACATGACGCCTACTCGTGAGATTGTAGGGGCTTGCTGCATCGCAGTCAGACCGCCCGCCATGTCCTCTGCCTCGGACATTGTTCACCAACCCTGTGTCACCGTGTATTTCTGGTCTCGTCCCATCTGCATCTGACCGGTATATCACCGCCGGAGCAGACGCAGGGACAGCACCAACGGCGGCATTTCGTAATGACCAAGGTACCCGCGCCTCCGGTTCCAAGTATAGCCACCCGCCAGAGTCTTGATGTCAGAAGACGGGCATTCTCGCGTTTGTCGACTTGTTTCGACGCGGTAAATTGGGGCTCCAAAATATGCACCCAACTGGCTACGGGCGGACTCTGTTTCAGATGCCGACTCTCGGCTCATCACGTGACGGCCGTGCCCATCATGCCCAGGTGTCCACGGCTACGCAGGCGCAAGCGCAAGCGCAAGGGGCCTTTTGGCTACGGCAGGCGCGTTGCACCGATGGGGAAGCGACTATGTCATTCCCTCCAGCCGAGGCATCTCCGCATGAGGCGCATCGACTATGGCATTTCTCCGCCCACGACCATCTGTATTGTTCGCCGCTCGTGGACCTTCTCTTCGATCATTTTCTTCAGCCATGGCTCAGCGACGCATTGGTAGGCTGCTTAGCGACATCTTGTGCGACAATAGCTGATGGACCATAGCGAACCCCGCCCTCTTGTATGCAGACCACAGCCGTGACAATTCCCTTCTAATATCATTACAGCATCTGCGATCTTCAAGAGAAGTTTCGTCCAGCCATTTATGAGTTTCCCAAAGTCGTCTCCACGGCACAAAAGTTGCTGAAAGCGAGTATGCTCCACATTTTTTGTCCAACACCGTGTCCCAACTCCAATAAGACACCAACACCACCCTCTAGGCTTGCCACCCGCTGAGCGTCAGCCTGAAGCTCTCAGGCAGGCTCACCAAAACCTTTCATTATACTTTCCGCCCCGCGTGCTTACTGCTGACCAACCCTTTCAGGCAAATTACTGAACATTCCAGTCTTCGCGACTACCCAGAACAAAGGTAGGTTACGGCTGTACGAACCGTATGTGAGACATGTACTGACGTAGTCCTTCCGCCTCCGTAGCGCGATTGGGCGAGACATGTCCGGAGCTGAAGCTGGATCAGCCTGATGGCATCAATACAGTCTGTCATCTTGACAAGACATTGTTTTCGATGGTGTAAGCCACAGCACATGGGATCTGTGCGTCAATACTACTTGCTGACTCATGGTAGAACACCAGAAGTCAAGCAAGCACTAGACTCGCTCAACGCCTCTGGCCCACTCTCCTGCATCATTGTCGGCATCGAGAGCCACATCTGTGTCACTCAGACCACACTCGATCTCCTCCGGGCCGGACACCAAGTCTATGTCATTGCTGATGGCGTAAGCTCGTGTAACAAAGAAGAGGTGCCGATCGCTTTGGCAAGGCTACGCCATGAAGGTGCCGTGGTGACCACTAGTGAGAGCTTCATGTACGAATACGTTGGGGACGCTAGTACACCCGAGTAAGTGGAATTGCAGTGTCGAAGGGTCATCTATTATGGACTAGATGGCTAACAATAGATAGATTCAAAGACATCATCAAGGTAGTCAAAGAGACGTCGCAAAGCACAAAAGAGGCAATGCAGACGCTTTGTAAAATCTGAGATGATCATTACCGAATATCCCATCGTTACCATATCAGTACCACTTCCAGTAGCTATTTTACAGATCCATGTCTATGAATAAAGCAAGCCCGTCCCAACCACCTGATGCGTAGCACTCGCATATCTCTCCATGCAATTGGAATCTCTCCAGTTTCGCGGCTCGAAACATCCCACCTTCATTTCCCCGGCCCATCTTCCTACAGCTCTCGGCCATTGACTGGGAGCATTGGCAAGGCCACATTCTTGATCTCCCTCGTCTTAACAATTCCAGTCCCTGATGGCTTGCCGGCCTGTTTCGCGTTTCCCCTCCCTTCCAGACCTATGGCAAGTCTCCTCGGCGTCGTCCGTGGGGGCACAACTGGAGCAACCTACACTGACCCTCCATATGCCCCCATGCAAAGTAACGCTGGGTTCTGACACGCGTTTTGACTTGATACAAATACCCCAGAATATAGCCCACATTGGACCAGATTGATTACCTCGTATGTAGATTACACAGTTGCAGATAGACTTTACGAACTGGTCTTGGCACGGACGAGCGAGACTAAACACTGTCGACCTGTAGTGTTTGTGATAGCATTTCAAGTCGAAGAATGAGGTTATCGAGTTATTTAAGCCACTGGAAAAGAATGCTTTCGTAGTGATGTGCCATTCCCTATCCACGAGAATAATGTATCGGCGTTGTGGAGTTCTGGCGTCTGCCAAAATCCGTGCCAGCACACGCAACTTAGTCGCCTGGAGAGGGTGATGCATATGAGTTGAAGAATTTCGTTGCAATAGAGTGCGAATTTTTCTCTGTCGGCTTTGAAAGACGCTGCTTCTTATCCCGATTGAAACAGCTCGCTCTATGCATTCTTCACTCATATGTCTACGACTCGCTCTTGCGTTCAAGATGCACCGCATCATCCCCATAACCTTGAACCTTCCCCTCCAATACCTCATCGATTACTGGTGCCTTGAAACCATATCGACCCCAAAAGTCTCCTGTACCATAGACGGAAACAATACCAGTAGTTGCATATTCCTTAGCAACAATCTCCAAGCTCGCGTGAAGACATTGATGCGCGAGCCCATATCTACGGAATTCGGGCAGAATAGCAAAGTCATGGATGTAGTACTGATCCGCATCCGGCCTGATTTCGCCGAGAAGCTGATTGAGAGCTGGGGGCTCGCATTTGCGAATGGGATGCGAGACGATATATCCGCAAATTCCACCGGTTTCGTCAAAGAGACCTTGGCAGCCTTGCGGGAACAACCTGGCGCGTTCTGCGAAGACTTCGTCGCTTTCATGGAGGTCGGGATGGATCTTCTCAGCTACTTGGACGAGGCTGGTAATGTCACCGGCAGATAGCGAACGCCATACTGCTTTAACATCAATATCCACTTCCGTTTTACCTTGTTCGACTGTGACGCGCTGTTTGAATTTCCCAAGGTCCTATCGTGAGGTGCCCAGGTGTAGCCACGTACGAACCTTGGAACACCTCCTCAAAGGGTACCACCGCTAACCAAGATGCATACACAAGTCTTTTGAAATGAGTCTAGCAAAATGCTAAATTGAGATCCGCTGTTTAGATGCGCCCTTGAATAGCATTGAAAGGGGAAGCGCATTTGCTGCCGAAAATGACGTAGTTAATATCTAGACAGGTTAAAGTCCGTCGCTAGTGCTACGTTCAAAATCTGTTCCCTCACCCCGGGATCGTCGCATTTCCATTTTCGATACCAATCAACATCATATAGTTACTCCTCTTTCCCATGCATTGGTTAGTATTTGTGTGTAGGTCGCGATATTAAATCATCAATGTGAGAGTGAACTATGCGTGATGGAGAAAGTATGTCAGTGTGAGATTCGATGCGCGTATAGTCATCCAATACTTCCGGCTACACTAGTCACGACAGAAACACACGGCAAGGGCGTAGAACCGCTATATTGATCTTCTATCCAAGCCAGCTCAATCCAATATTCGACAAAACAGTCAGAAAAGGCATGCTTGCTAGCGCTATCTTAAGTCAGTTTCGAATTTCATTTTCAAATGCCATCTAATGGAAGAAGTTGGAAAAAGAGAATCAACCCAACGTGGGCATAACATACAGAGGCGGAGCCACGCCGGCAAAGGGAATAGCCGATTGAACGACGATGAAGCAAAGTGTAACCAGACGAAGAAGCGAACCAGGTATGGGATATCAGTAGAACAACGAATGTGAGAGTGAATAGTCGTAAGAAAGGAAAGGTAATAGCCCCGGGGCGAGCTGCGCATGGAGGCTTGCCACAGAGACGCTGAAATTTGATGATGGATCTTTCTTGGCGGAGCTTCTATGCTCATTGATCTTTGGAAGGACAGAGTTAGCAAACGAGATGCTGAAAAGCCGCTCGGCTATATCCCGAAACGTAGACGTCCTATCATTCGAGTTCAGCAGCCCATGCATCTCCGCTCTTCACTAGCGATCACCTCGACGAGGTCTGAGCTGCAGCAATCTCAGCAACCTCATCTTCCGGTCTCATTCTCAAGCCGCCTTTGACCTGAATGCCTTGCTGAACCCAGTCCAGCTTCTCAATGTCCTCCAGGCTCTTGCGACCACGTGAGGCCTTCTTCAGCAGACCCTCGACGCACTCGCGAGCGCCAGCCCACTCGTTGCCCTTTTCCGCATCCCACTCGCCGTCTTCGTCACCGAATTTGACCCAAGACCAATCGCATCTGGCGATACGGTGAGCGGCTCTACTACGAGACGCGGCCTTGCCCGGCGGTGGATCAAAGGGCAAACGTCCTTCCATGAGAGCATAGAGCAGGACGCCGAGCGCCCAGGCATCGGTTGAACGGCCGTCATATGGCTGACCGAGGAGAATCTCTGGAGCAGCATAATCTTCACTACCGCATCGTGTTGTCAAAAGAGGCGACTCGGGAGGAGCAGGGATGCGTCGTGAGAGGCCGAGATCCGTGAGTGTCGCTATGGCATGCGGATGGCACTGTGGGTTCTTGAGTAGAGGCACGGTAGACACAGGAATATTGAGAAGGACGTCTGGATGTCATTAGTACAGAGTAAAAGCGAAGAAACGTACCAGATGAACTGTGGCATGGTAAAAAGAATGGAAGCAGTACTTTCTAGCTTGATGTCGCGATGCACAATAAGTTGGGTATGCAAATAACGCACAGCGCTGACCATTTCGGCGAAGACGCGATGGACGATGTCGAGAGTCAGCTTGTCGCGATGGTCACTGGCTACATCAAACAGATCACCACCGGGACAGTAGGTAAGGACAATAAGAGCTTGGGCGTCATCGTGATCGAAGGCTTGGAGATGGACAAGAGAGGGGTGCGATACTGATCGGAGCATTTCGACTTCTCGCTTGAGGCTTAGTTCTACGCGCTCTTCGTCGGCACCCCCGGCAGGGCCATGCTCGACGACCTTGATGGCGACCAGTTTCCGTGGATCCAAAACGTTCTCATCGAGAGGGTCCTTTGCTTTGGTCTTCTCACAGGTTGCGAGGTAGACTTTGCTGAAGGTGCCCTGCCCCAGTTGGCGGACAGGGCGCCAGAGCTTCTTCGTCTTTTGAGGCCCACACCGCACCACTATATATTGAGTCTTGTCATCTTCGGTCACGTCGTCTTCCTCGGTGTCGGTAACACTGCGGTTGCTTGCGTTGCTCGCGGGCGGGGTGGGAAGGCCGGCTGGCACATTGGCGGGGACGAGGCCTCGCTGCGTCGCCAGATATGTCTCGCGGTTCATGCGCTGCTGCATGGCGGGGTCCGTGTCGACGACCGAGACGTGCCGAGGGCGGGTGTTGTGCATTGAATCCGGGGTGTACTCGCTGATGCTCCTGTTGCGCTCGCGAGCAGCCTCGTTCCTCTGCTGCGAGTTTGCGGCGGCGGCCTCCATGGCAGCGGCCTTCAGGCCCGAGTAGCCCTTCTTCTTGAGCGAGGGCGAGGGCGACAGGGTGCCCTTGGCGAAGATGGCGAAGGCGTCGTCGCGCGAGGCGGCCGAGATGCCGCGCGAGCGAGGACGATGGTCGGCGCGCTGCCATGGGCCGGGCGAGTCGCCCATGACCAGGGGCGAGGGGAGCGGGGTGATGTCGCCCAGGGCAGCCAGCGCTGGCGACGAGATGGCGGACGAGGGCGACAGCGAGCCGAGACTGGCAGTCGACCAGGCGGTCCTCAGATAGCCGCTGTCCTGGATGGCAATCGGCGCCGTGGCCGACTGCCGCAGCGCGTCGCTCCCGCTGGGCTCCAGATTGGCGGGGTCGAGGGAGCGTGCCGAGTTGGGGTTCGAGGCGATGGCGAGGTCCGTGTCGAGCTTCAGCGCCGTCGACGGGGCGCGGACGTGATATCTGGGCAGCGAGGGATCCGTGGCTGCCGTGCCGGGCGCGAGGTCCGCCGTCGTCAGCGTCGATGTCGGGCGGGCAGTGTCTGGCGTCGCCTGCGTCTTCTGCGTCTTCTGCGTCGTGTCGGCGCGGGCAGGCGCCCGTGGGAGTGCAGGGCTGGAGGACGCGAGACCCGGAGAGGATGGCTCTGGGTCCTCCATGGTGTTGTGTCACAGCGGCCAAGGTCCAGTAGTCTGTCTGCGGGCAATGCCACCCGTGCACCTCCATGCACGTGCGCCTCCGCTACCCTTAGCGCCTCTCGTCTCAGCGTCGGTCCCATCCCAGCACACTGGTCCACGGCACCGACTCCCTGACCCTTTTCAAGTCCTCCCGCGAAGCCACTGCCGGCTTCGACCTCGAGGCGTGCCGTCAGTCACCAGAGCGACATGGGGCCGTTTTGGGCTTCCGAGCCAGCCAGCCAATCGCAAGCGAGCCTCCGACAACGTGAACTCGCGCCCTCACACGGCATGTCATGCTGAGTCTGATCGCGAGTGTCTACCAATTGACTCCAAGCGGCATGATATCGAGCCTCTCGCCATCCCCATGTTGGGAACTCGGCATGGGCCTGGCGTTGCCTTACTTACCTTTCGCATATCCCGCGGCTGTTCGCTGACATATCCTTTCATTGCATCCTCTCTTATGGACG